AAAATATTTTAGGAAAAGCTCTACTTTTAAGAGCCCTCATCTGTCCACTGTTTCTTTTTAAAAATGTTTAAATTGCCAGCCAAATTGAAAAAGTATCTCAATTTCTAAACACACAAGAAACTTGTTAGGTGGGCTGGGAGGAAGGATATTGTGGCAGTGATTTACCATCATGAAAAGACAAAACAAATAAATAGAACATGTTTGAGTTATAATTGTATTTCTTTGTATCCTCCATGGATACCTTAGGAAAAAAAAACAATTGTATCTCCAATGTTCTTTGGTGTATTATGACTTTTGTTGGGACTGAAAATTACTTGAAGCTTCTGTTTTATTATGCTGTCATGCTAGATTCCCTCATGAACAAGAGTTTTGTTTTACATGGCTGTTTATTGGTTACTGACTCTGATTCAGAACTGAACAAAATGCCTTTTGTAATACTATAACATGTTTGTGAATATGGCTCCTTTAGGTGTCACTTCCTGAAATAATAAAATTGAGATGAGTACCACTAAGGCTGCAGTGCATTTGCATAGAAATAATCTGAGAAATTTATTAAACTTCTTTGCAGAATAGAGATGATGCAGCCACAGCTATGTATTTGTGCAATATTATTGGTTTTAGTTGGGATTTAGTCCAAGCCATATGAGTGCAGAAGCATAACTTTTGATATGTACTTCCTACCCTTGCTAAAATACTGTAATGTAACAGTATACAACGTTGGGAATATAAAACCCAGCAGAGATAAGGTTAAAACTAGAGCAGGATCCTTTCAGCTTAGGTTTGAAAAAAAAAGCACAAGTCTTTGAATAGTTGCTACTATGACAGATTGAATTTTATCATAGATTTTATCTGTTATTATTTTATTCTACAATTTTTAATTGTATATTTACTGTGTGTTTTTATTTGTTCTGTCTCTGGTCTATGGCTGTAATAAATTGAATTGACATTTAAATTTTGAAGCCAATAAGTATTCTGAATAAGTAGAATCTGTTGTATTACTAAAATTTGATCTTACCATATTTCAAAACAAGCAAGTAAATAATGTTGGAAGAAATGTCCATCTGGGTTCAGTTCCAAGTGGGGAGAAAGACACTGGAAATATGGAGACTGCTTGGAAGGATGGTTTTTATGGTGAACAGGACCACATGGATTTGAAGTCCTGGGTAGCTGACCACATGGAAGAGAGAGAGATATTTATACTGTCTCTTGGGCCCTGCCTTAGAGCTTCCTGTTCCTGTGAAGAAATGTTTTCTGATTGGTTGTCAGACTCCCATGAGGCTATGCAGGGGTAACTTTGTAGGTTATCTTGAGTCCCAGGCTTGGTTGAATCTTGCTGGGTGATATAATCTTCCCAGGTGCCATGTGGTGAGATGGGTAGAAGGCTAATCCTATTATGTCCTGAGGGTGAAGGTCTTGTGTGTTGTAGATAAGCTGGCCCAGCCTTTTGTCTTGTAGACAGGATGGCCCAGTCTTTCTGGGGCTATTAACAAAGGTGGGGGCTGCTTTCCAAGAGCATGTATCTCCTTTTCTCATCCAGGGAGGTATAATATTCTGCCTTTTTTAATACTTCCTAGAATATTTCATTCTTCTAGGAGAGGGGTGGGTGCTAACTTCCTACAATAATATTAAGATAGCCTTGCCTCATCTGCAGGTAGTTCTCCACTTATGACAATGGAGCCCCAAATTCTGTTGCTAATCAAGGCAGCTGTCAAGTGAGTTGTGCCTCATTTTACAACCTTTTTTGCCACAGTTGTTAAATGAATCATTGCATTTAAGTGAATCATGTGCTCATTAAATGAATCTGTTTTCCCCCATTGACTTTGCTTGTTGAAAACTGGCTGGGAAGGTTACAAATGATGAACACATGACTCCGGGACAATGCAGCTATCATGCCAGTTGCCAAGCACCCAAGCTATGATCACATGACCATAAAGATGATGCAATGGTTTTTTTTCAGTGCAGTTGTTAACTTCAAATGGTCACTAAATGGATGGTTATATGTTGATGACTACCTGTATTCTAAATATCAGTAAATCTAGCAAAAAAGAAAAAGTCTCTTGTAATACCGAAATGCCATGCCTTTGAATAAAAGCAAACAACAAAATGGTTAAAGTTGTTCAGCGTGTACAATAATTCTATTTTTGTAATTGTACAAATGATAAGTTAGTAAAGTCAACTCTCTATAAAATCTTGGAAATAATCCTCTTTTTCTCATTACTCAATATTAGTTACATTTTAAGATGTAACATGTAGGCAATATATGAAAAATAATCTTAATTCCTATCTAAATCGTTCTTTATAAGACATATTACTTAGCTTATTAGCTCTTATCTACAAATTACTACATTTTCACTATACGGTAATCTTAAAATGAAAATGTTCCTTTTAATGCTTACAGAAAATACTATCAGTATATAATAACAGTGACACTAATATAAATGGATTATACAAGGTTTCCAAATATTCATATCTTAGTAACATCTGGAGTTGAACTTGATCCCTAGTAAATATGGCAATGTTTTTCAAACTTGGAAACTTTTAAGATGTGTGGACTTCCATTCCCAGAATTCTCCATCCAGCAAGTCTACAGACTTAAAGGTGTTACATAGCATGACCGTGTTCTTAGTTAACCCTATATAGGTAATCCTCAATTTTCGCTGGCAGAGCGCTCGGGGCGCCGCAGGCACCCCCGACACAAGTGATGTCAAGCTGGCCATGCCCACCCCAGCCCCCCAAAGTTAAACAGAACACTGATGCGTCCCTCAATGAAATCGAGTTTGACACCCCTGGTCTAAAGCTATAGAGAGTTATCACATTGTTATAGTTTATTGGATGACTACTATATTTAAAAGGATATTCCCCTACATATCTATACTTGCAGAATAGATATCTATAGAATCAGTTTAGTTAGAATCTATAGAATCTAACTAAACTGATTTGCAGAAAGTAAAGTCTTTGAGGTATGGCAGATTTTAGCTGACCCGATTTGGAATCCTAACCATAAATGTGTTCCTTGGAAGTTGAAATTGCTCTAATGTGCAAGCAAGCATTTGTTTTAAAGTTTCCCCAGTCTTTTAACATATTTTACCTCTGTACATCACTTTTATCCTGTCTTGCAGAGGTTCAGTTTCCTCTGCAAGTTGATTTTTACTCCTTTTTAGAATAGTAGCATTTAATGGTGTTTTAATTTTCTCCCGTCATTCATTATATTCATTATGAATTATTATGACCTTCTGAATTATTTCTAGATGTTATTTTTTCTTCGTTTCACTACCTTCATGTGAAATATTTTGTTCTTCAGTTAATTGATTATTTAATAATTTATTTCATATCTCAAAGCCAAGAATACTATTTTCACAAGTTACATTTTTATGAATAAAACATAGATCAGATACGTGAGAATAGAAAAACTACAGCCTCAGTAAGCAGCAAGCATTTGAGAACTGAGCGGGTCTGCATTTCTACTATCACCATTTCCTCGAAAATAAGACATCCCCTGATAATAAGTCCAATCGGACTTTGGAGCGCATAGCAATAAGGCCAAGCACTTATTTCAGGGTTCAAAAAAATATAAGACAGGGTCTTATTTTCGGGGAAACACGGTAGTAAACAATATTTTGAGACTGTAATGTCAAAATTTATTTGACATGCCAAGTAGTGAATGATTAACAAGATCACCAACTGCCTTTAATTTTACTATTGTTGGTTTACATAAGCTTTGTATGTTACACAAACCCGGAACAGCAACTATTATCAGTACCAATCAGAATTTGAAATCGTGCTTAATTGTTAACGGAAATATAAACTAAAAAGTTTTATTTACAGTGAGTGACTTACAAGTACAGGTAGTCCTCGACTTACAACAATTCATTTAGCGACTATTCAAAATTACAACAGCCCTGAAAAAAAGTGACTTATGACCGCTATTCAACTTACAAGCATTGCAGCTTCCTCATGGTGACATGATCAAAATTCAGCTGTCTGGCAACTGATTCGTATTTATGACAGCTGCTGTGTCCCAGGGTCATGTGATCATTTTTTGCGGCCTTCTTACAAGCAGAGTCAATGGGGAAGCCAGATTCACTCAACTGTGTTACTAACTTAACAACTGCAGTGATTCAATTTAATAAGTGTGGCAAGATAAGTCGTAAAATGGGGCAAAATTCACTTAACAAATGTTTCACATAACAACATAAATGTTGGGCTCAACGAGGACTACACCTGTATAAAAAAAAGTCAGGTATTTTTTATTCTTATGCCAGCTGTCCTTTCTTTTCACCTACAATTAAAATTGCCCAACTTCCCCCATTAGAGAAGAATCTTGCTAATCCAGTTACCGGACAGAGTAAGGAACTGCTCCATTTGCAACTCTTTGAAGAGCTTTCTCACCACCTACTCATTACAACACACGCTCCATAGGGAAGGAGTAGTAATTCAAGTAGCCTTGCAGTAGTAGAACTCCAATCTTCACACACCCTTATATTGTTAAGTAAATTAAAGATACATAATGAGACACAAAGCCAGAACTGTAGCATACTCCTACAATTTGAATATGATAATATGCCAAAAGATTCACAAACAATCTAGTGCTCCTCAGGTGGGGCGGACTACAACTTCCCTAATTCCCAGACCTTTGATCACAGACTGGAAATCACATAAATAAGACTACCTGAAGGGGACCCGTTTGAGGACAGCTGTTCCACTTCTTCCCTCCCTTTATTAACCCACCCTACCTTCACTTCCCCTTCCACTTCCCTTCTTGTTCCCAGGGACATTCCCACTCGCGAGGAGAACCAACCACCCGCAACAACTCCGCGGACATTGCTAACTCATCCCACACCTTCTCCTCACCGCTTCCTCCTCCAGGTCGGTGCCCAAACCTGAACTTAAGCTCTCGAGGTGATCACATGGGACAAGCCAGAAGAAGGGAGGGCAAGAGCTAGGAAGGTTTCGCGGCTGCCTCTTTCCATTGGCTCCGCGCAGGCACGTGGCGCTTCTCTTCCCACCGCTGGCTCACAGCTGGGTAGCCCCGCTCGGCTGGCGGGGAAAGAGCTGTGAGAGCCGCTCCGGTTAAAGTGCCTTAAAGGAGCGTGGAAGAGGAGGAGGAGGAGGAGGAGGAGGAAGAAGAAGAAGGCGGCAAAGAGTTTTTTCCCCCGCTTGGGCTCATGGGTCTGATTGATTAATTACTGTTTTGCTGGCCGAACCCTTTGCGTGCAGGTCGTCGTTTTGCTTGGAGCCATAGAAGGCAAGAGTCCGGAGCGGGGCGGCGGGAAGGTAGGTCTCGCTGAAGGTAGTTGCGATGTACGGGGGTTTATTTTATTTTTTTTTCCCCAAAGCGCCGGGGGACTCGACAATCTCTTCCCCCTTTCTTTCTGCTCTTTTTTTTCCCCGCGCAAGTCGCCCTGAAGTTGGGAGGTTGATTCAGAAAGAACGCAGGCGAGGCTAGTCGAAGAGAATAAGGTGGGTGAGACGTGCCCCGCGCTCCTTCTGCGACTTCTCCGGAGCTCTCTCCGGGGCTGGTTCTCTCGTGGGAGTGGAGACCGATCGCGGGCTGTCGACGCGCGGAGAAAGGGAGGGGAATGTCTTGCGTCTGAAGCCTGGCGCGAAAGCTCGCCCCGTCCAGCCCGCCCGGTTCGCTGAAAGAGGTTTGGGATGGCGCGGTGAATATTTTGCCCAGTTTTTCCAAGAAGGAGAGCTCTGCACGGGATCCTCTGGAGGAGAGAGAGAGAGAGAGAGATCTAATCGTTTTTCCGAGTTTGCTTATTGTGCTGGTGCATATTATAGATATGCATCGGAATCTGAATACATTTTGCGTTGGGGGAGGAAAAAAAGTTCATTGGGCTGGCTTACATTCATTAAACAGCTTTCAAGTGATCGGAGAGATGTTCGGTTCCGTACTGCGTAAAATATGAGTTGCATGGCGATGGAGGGGAAGGTTAAAAAAAAAAAAAAAAAACCCTCCAGAATTGAAGCTGGAATCGCCTCCATTTTCCTAAGCGCTCGGGGCAAAGTCGGCGAGGCTGCCTTCGGGAAGACTAACTAAACAGAGCGAGCGGCTTCATCTCCGGATTGGAAAACGGGGCAGCTCACGCCCTGAACGCGCCTCTTGGCACTTCGCCTCTTCTCCTTCCCTTCCGACTTCATTTATGCAGAGCGCTGCTGAAATGAGCAGTTTGGCCACGCCAGCTTCATTCAATTGAATGGGAGAAGTTGCATTCCCTTCTGTCTTGTCCGCATGGTTTCTGTCTCTTGCTCTCTTTCCTCCTTCTCCAAAAATCTATTAGTCAGTTTGCTTGATGCTGGACTTGTGGGGTTTAAAAGCCTGTATAGTGGGAAGTGGTCCAAGCGTTCTTATGCAGTCCAGAAATGGATGCTCCTTACACCCACTCGCTCCTCTAGTGGCTAGATTTTTCATTATTGTAATCCTTTACTTTAAGAGATCAAAACACACTTAACTTGATGTAAGCAGTGGAATTTGTTTTGAGGTAATAATGAGGATGGCGTAGAAATCCATTAGTACTTCTAGTACTCCGAAGCCTATGCTTCAATTCTTCGAATGACTGAAATTCTAATTAGTGCTAGGCGATATAGTCTAATGTGTGTTAACTATAAATGTCCATTTTTTGATAACCATCATGGCACAGTTAACAGTCAAGAAGATTAATTTGGCCATAGATTGGACTTCAATACTTTTTCAAAGATTTTAAAATAAAAGCATATATGTTGAAAAGCAGAAAGGCTCTGGTAGTTTTTCTATCAAAACAGAATTTATCATCATGAATCAGTCTTAAGTGTTCAGTTTTTTACAATTTAATTCTTTTACTTCCCTCAGTAACAGGTTCCTGTTATTTCATATTTTTTTATTCAGATGCATGTTTCTTAAAATTTCCCCAAGAATTCTAGTTGAAGTGCAAGAATAATCCTGGGAACATTTCCTGACATCTTTGCTTTAGTATAAAGATTGAACCTCCCTAAAATAATGTGTGTGTGTGTATACACACACACACACATACTTATCAAAGCCTAGTCAGCAACTATAAAAGTAATTTATTTTAATAATATTAAATATATATTTAGATAGAACTTTAGAATACTTAAGATCAACGGACATACGAGAGTTGCAGTGGATATCTTGAAGTTAACAGTAAAAATCATAACCAATAATTTCGATCCATCAATAAAAGGATAACAGATTTAAAGTCTTGAATTTTTTAATGATTTTCTTTTCTTGTCTGACAACTTTCAGATCTATTGCTTTCAGCAACTGATTGCCATTTGATATACCATAATTATCAATTGCTATCATTTTTTTCTTTTTTTGTGTGTGTGTTTTGTTTTCCACTGCTTAAACAGGCAAATCAGTTTTGTACCCTAATCTATTCCACCCTTATGGTTCTATCTCATATTTCTTAAGTTAGCACCTTAGCTGGGAAACCATTTTTAAAAGAAAGGCTACTATTATTTTTTTAACTTACAAGTTTCTTAAGAAAAAAAAACAAGCACACATTTTAGGAAGGTAGAAGTTGCCTCTGAAAGATCAAAAAAGTTCCAGTTAAAGTACAGGAAAAGGCCTCTTTTCAATGGACTCAATTGTTAACACAATTGGAATTTAGCCTAAACTGTGCAAACCTTTTGCAGGAAAACTTTGTATTTTCCTATTCTCGGGCAATGTTTATTTTAATACAAAAGAAAACCAATCGTTGGTTGAAAGCCTATGGCCTATTATTTCGACGTCAATATTATTTAGTAATTTTAGGAGTCGTAAAGAATATCTGTGAATATCTCATGATGTAAACTTTGTGAGTTGCATCCAGTTAGTATTATATCAGTAGGTGTAGGGATAATTTACATTTCCTCATACTATCCAAACCCTGCTGGGGAATCATCCAGAGCACATCTGGGAAATAAAGGAAGGGAAAAGTCCTGCTGCATGGGCAGACATCTTTTCCGTATGGTTGGATTTTAGTCTGTGTTTGGTTCTTCAGATAAAATAGTTTGAGTAGTAGAATGTAACTTGATTTTTCATGTGACTGAGAAACATTTGAATGTTTAAAATATAGGTGAATGCCTAGAAGGCTGTATGCATAAGGTATAGTTGACATTTTTAAAGTGATTTGAATAATGGTGCATTTTCCTTGATCAGTCGTATTCTGAACCTTTAGGAATGCTGTGAGTTTATTCTAGGTAATGTCTGTTCAAGCACAAAAGTTGCATCACTCTTTCTGTTGGAAATGTTTTATTGTTGCTTTTATAGAATATTTTTTTTAAAAAAGTTTATTTACTTGCATTTCAGTTAATCTGCCTTCTGAAACTAGCCATTTGGCAATATTATTACAGTTTGGCATTACAACTATGCCATGTTCCATATTCAATTCCAAAAATATGTTTTTGAGTGTATGATAATGTGAAGCCAATACCTGTCATAACACTTTTTTAAATAATTACATAACAAGTCTGAAGCAATGCATAGGCCTCTGAAGTCCCATGAGCTGAGCTAACCAAATCAGCACTATAAAATCGCTTGCAGGTACACTATGAGGCAGAGGTATTTGTTACAGTCAATTGATAAGCAACTCTCACACACACACAGAGGGAGAGAAAGAGAGAGAGAGACTTTTTAAAATGTTAACCACCCTAGGGCAAGAACAATAGAAGCACTATTGGGAGGTAGCGAAGAGAAGAATAACATGAACCTGTTTTTAAATATATTTTGTTGTATTCTCCTGGCATGTTTCTCCTTTGTAGTTAGAAAGTCCTAGAGTTCTATACAATTCTAATCTTGAGCATTTCAAGGGTAGGAGCAAACAGGAGCTCCTATAGCTTCCTCCAGTTTTAGTTGGTTCCTGGAATGAATTTAGAGCAGGTCCCCCTCCCCCCCCCATCCTCTCCCTCCGTCCCTCTAGCTATCTTTCTGTATGTGTGTGAAATATAGTATCATACATACTATATTTCTGGACAGATCAATTTTCCTTTTGAAGTGTTCGATTTGGGAACTATTTTGTTGCTTGGAAGGAATTATTTGTATGGCGTAGTCTTGTAATGCTTTTTGTATTAATACGTCTCAAAGCAGTTTCCAGTATATTAGCCACAACTATAAAAACAAATTGTTTGCCTCTGGAATTTTATGTTGTCAGTTAGTCTGGATTAGTATGTTGTACAAACTTGGCCAAAAACCTTTTATCAAGTTGTACATTTCAACAGCTTTTTTTTTTTTTTGAGAATTTTTTTTTTATTTTAAAACAGCTTTTTTTTATTAGAGAAACTATTTTAATTCATATAAATCATAACATTTAGAGTAAGCTGGTATCTTAACAGAGTTTATAACTCTCACTTAATATTATCTAATTTAATTTAACTTGAATATTATTGATAGTAGGTTTATGCTTGTAGTAAATCTGCAAATTTATGCAATTTGATCAGAAAAAGAAAAAAGTATTTTTGGATATAAAGCAGTCACCAGTTAAACAGTTAAAATCAGAATAATTTGTGATGTCAGAAGCTCCAACATGATTTATACTGCAGCAGGATAGATGAACACATGATTTCCTGTCCTCAAAGGATTGCAAGGAATGTTAATTACTTTTAATTTCCTTGATTTATAAAATCTCATGGTATTCAGTCACTGTCTCAATATTGCCATCATGCACTTGAGCAAAAAGAAAAAAAGATTTGTACAGTATTTAATCTGACATTAGCAAATAACTAATTTTTAAATGAAGTCAGGTACTTGATTTGTGCAAGATACAAATTTTTAAATCTTTATTTTGATGTTTTTGTTAACTTTTCTTTTACAGTATGGAATGCCTTCATTCTGAGTTATAGGGGAAAAAACCTTATTGAATGTGCTAATATCTTAGACAGCCAGTAGTGTAGAGTCTCTATTCATACCACATGATGGTTACTTTTTAATATTTTTAAAAAATAAAAATATTTAATTTTCTATGGGATTTCTGATGTGATGCAGGGTCATAGTATACTTTTTCTCATTAATCCATCTGTATATTATAACCAAAACTCTTAGCCCACTTTATCATACATTCTTTAACAAATTCTTTCTGTTTCAAATTTCAACCAAAGTTAGCATTTCTAGCTACAACAAAAAATGTTAGCAACATTTTAGCAGTTACATGTTCATCATGAATGTAATTGTATTTCAAATTCTTACTTTGCTCTATACTATCAATCTTTTTGTCCATTACCCCGGCTTCATGTAGATGCTAAAAAGGAGTGGAGAAAACACTGAAACCTATGGTGCCACAAAGCAGGGGCCATAG